CGTCCCCGCTCGATGGGCGCTGGGTCACATTATAGAGGGAAATGGTTGCGTGACATCTTGAACTTTGGTCCTGTTGTGAAACCATGTAGCGCAAATGCAAGGAACAAGTGGCCAGCTAGGATAAAGGTTCTCTCAAAGGAAGACTCCGCGGTGGGTGAGCCATGTATCATTTGTGAAAAGCTGAAAAAGTTGTATACGCGAGGTCACAATGACTATATAAGGCGACATGGACGAGAGTGCAAAGAAAAACAGAGGGCCGGCGCATTCAAAGGGATTAAGCTCGTGTTGTCCATAGACCGAGGAAAATAATGTTAAAGGGTCGTATTGAGGGAACAATTTCCTCGACCCTATGCTTGACCCAGTGTTGCATCCCATTTAGGGATTCCTTGTGTTACCCTTCTTCGCTTCGCCTATACTGCATCCCTGAGATGTGGTGGGCGTGGCTTTTTGCTTTTTGTACTTGGCAACGGCTTCGTTTTTGGTGAAGCATTCTCATCTTGAGACAGTTACAGTCTTGTTTTAGTCCAGTACAAGACAATGTGACAATTGGCTGAAACCGAAATATCGCGCATATGACATACTGCGCCATGGCCAACTATTGTTTAAAGGGTTGGCACGGTAACTTGGTATTCGGCCTGAAATGCTAGCAGGGCGCTATCTAGTGGGGAAAAATGGCGAAAAAACGAAGTGAAACGGTCAAAAACCTGTGAAGAAAGGCCTTCGCTCTTCAGGACTCACAGAGCAATTTCGGACGAGTTTCCCGTAGGCATCTTGCCAATAACCGCTACACCAAGATACCACTGCATGTGTGTACTAGAACATTCATACAGCGCGTGGGGAGGGGGCTGCTTTAGTATCATCCTTGGCTTTATATTTATGGGCAGGCGGGCGTGGATGGGCGTTCGGGTCGGTATGTTGTAGCTTTATAGAGCCCTTATAAGGGTACCTTCCTCGGAAAGGCGCTACACAGTGCCTGCTCAGGGTCGCGGAATTCCGTCCTGCGTATTAATCCTACTCGTCTTGGGGATTTATCGTGCCAACTGCCTTTAAAGCCACGCTTGCCGCGTCAAGTCGTCAGTGATATGAGCCCGTGCTGCCCTAGAAGTTCTGCACTGCCCCATGATCCACCGCTTTGTTATCTAGCGCCTCTTCTACATGACCTTGATTTCGATGGGGTTTTCGAGGTTCTTCTTAATGACGTTCTGCTTTCCCATTGAGCTCCTCGTGGTCTCTTGCCGTGAGCTTCGATGTCCGTTGCCTGTCATAACGGGTGATTCTTGAGCCGTCTAAGCAATCTACCTGTACTGGCAGTCGCTGCAAAGAGCAGCTGTATGGAAAATAATGCTTTAAAATGGCTAACACCTCTTATATGTAACACAAAGGAATTTCTGTGAGGTCATTCTGGAAATTCGTCCACCATCGTACCACGATGTACATTCCTTGTCCCTGACACGCGGAAGGCGTGGCTGCATGCTTCATTTGAACATGGCGCAGCAATTGTTACTCGGAATATTTAGGATACTTCATTTTGGGACAACTCATTCTGTCTTTTGTAGAACAAAGGCATGATTACCATTAATCCAATACGAAATTAGTGCACCAAAAACAATCCCGCCGCCGCGTTCAAGTGAAGTACGCAGCTACGCCACAGCATCTCAGGGATTTTGTCAGTTTTGAGAAGGTTTGGAAAGGCCCACATTGAAAAGGGCTTTCATTGTCTACGCCTGGAAATCTACAGAAGGGAACAGCCCTCGTATGGCGTAAGGTTTTTGTATAGTTAATCATATGTTGTCGTTTGCAGTTCTATGCGGGCGAAGTTGTTCCAATTCCACGATAACTACCGTCCACCGTACTATGGAACCTGGCGAACACGTAGCAAAACGATCACTGGACGTCGTCCGTTCACTACGAAGGAGGAAAACATTGACTATGAAGTGAGCTCTTTCCTCTTGCCATCCGACTGGTAACTATCAGTTGTACTTTTAGTTGTTTTTACCCTTTCTGCCGCTCACTCTTGAAATTCTCGATAAAAATTTTATCCGAGTAATAATTCAGGTGGACTCAGACGCGGAATGGGAAGAAGAACCTTCAGATGCTGAAGAGTGCAAGTCTGATGAAGAGGTGGCGTTACTCATCATTCTTTTGTTGTTTTTATTTGTTGCTCTTCTTACTAGGGAAGGTCGTCAGGTCGAAGTGGCCATTTGTAATGAGATGTAGCTCACAGACGTGGTTTTGGACGCTGATCTCGAATCTGCCTTCGAAATTTGCAGAGCGATTCTCTGAAAGGAATTATGAAGGTTTTTTAGAATTAAAATGAAGGAAACAGAGTCGAGCGCGGTTGCCGCCAATTTGCATGAACAACGTTTCAAGCGGCGGCAAGGTGTAGTGGTAATGGTCTTGCTTCGGGGGCATGCCACGAATGGTTCGAATTTCTGCAGGGAACTCTACAAAACACTCAAACGCTTAATGGTTGTCATATTCGTGTTTCAGGGAGCAAAACTACCCTTGGGACAGGTTCTAGCCAGATGTGAGGTTTTGACCTAACTTTGAAAAGTGCGGTAGCAGTTGATCGAATGATGGTCACCAATAGTTCCAGGGCCAGTCTCTTGTCGATTGCTTGTCTTTGGACGGAATTTGCTTTTAGATACCAGGAAAACTGGAGCAGTAACAACATGAATGCGTAAGAAGTGGCAAGACGAGGCTTTGTTTTTGTTTGTGCAGGAGAATGTATCTGCAGCTGAATAGGTGTGAACATCAACTGAACTAACCCATGGATGCTTCACTTTTCGAAGTCAGGTCAAAATGCCAGATTTGGCTAGAAACCTCTACCTAGGCGTAGTTCGCCCCCATAAATACGAATATGGCACTCGCTCAGCGCGAAAACGCCTGCACTGCGCGCCAAGGGCACCTGTACATCCTAAAATTCTCCTAGATCATAAGGCACTAAGCGCGCCAGTAAGCGAACGCAAACTGTTTTTCAGGCAAGTCAAGGAGAGCGCTAATGTAGTAGTGACGCCACAACCACTTTTTGCCACGTTTGCGCAAGAAGCAAAAAAGTTAAGCTCAGCAGGGATCCGATCCCACGACCTGTTGCGTGGTAAACGCGGTGGAAAAAGCTCCATAACTCCGAGAATCGTTCTGCAAATTTCGAAGGCAGATTCGAGATCAGCGTCCAAAACCACGTCTAGTGAGCTACATCTCATTACAAATGGCCACTTCGACCTGACGACCTTCCCTAGTTAGTCATTTTTATTTCTTGGACTTCTTGCTAGTAATTCACTAGGAATCAATAAATCCTCAAAGAGTCACCAAAAAAGTGTAATAGGTTTATAGTTAGGTACGTTGGTAGAAAAAATGGGCCAGCTGGGCTTATTGGGGACATGTTACTGGTTTCTATCGATCATTTCGGGCTGCGCCACGCACCCACTTCTTCGTCAGAATCGTTTAGGCGTTTGTACGTGTATCGATCCAATACATGCGAGGGCAGTTGCAATATGCGCTTTTCCATCTTCCAAGGCAAGGGGCAGTCGGATCCGGTAGGAGCATTTTGCTGGTTTGAAATGATTACTGACTGTCTCATGAGGATGTCTCACGTAAAATGTAAAGCTATGCAATAGCACTAGGTTCCTTTACACTTTACAAGCGTCTACAGCTTTTGTCAGTGTGAGGGTGTACTTTTTACAGTGAAAAGTTTAGTGCAAATGCCTCCCCCCCCACTGAACCGGACAGCGCCTCCCTGTTTTTCTTTTCTCCTTTTTTTGCTCCTTTTCTGCCTTGCGCCAGCATCACCACAACATCCTAGTTAGCCTGAGACCACACTGGTATGGCCTCCTTTTGCCCTAAAACGCTTTATTAAAACTATGCTTCTTTTTTCTTACTTTTTTGACTTTTTTCTACAAAAGACCAATTCGTTTCCGCTGTGTGTAATAAACATTTTTCGTCGTATTTGGCCGCTAGGGAGAGAGATCGTACATGGTCTCGAGAGGACTTTCTTCACTTCACACGTGCCCCCCCCCCGCCTCCACCTCTGTTGGGCTTGGGAACGTCAGGAAAGAAAATAGGTCGCGAAAGGTGGTCGTACTGAAGGAGAAAAGTTGGGCGGGGTCGTGTTTTGCTTGGATTCCCATGACGTGATGAACCCTGATTGGTTGGTTTGAATAGTTCATAGGATATGGTGATCTGGTAGGTTTCCAGTACTGAAATGTTGTTCTCCGTGAGTTTATTACTATGAACACTGGGATTTCTCAAAAAAGGACATGAAAGCGCTTCACTACGTGATCAATAATTTTGCTCGGTCTTACTCAACAGTAATTCCATAGAACTAAGCTTCATCCCATTTTGCTTTGAAACTGATGAAAGGAAATTACCGGAATAAATGAGGTTGATCGGGGCGCTGTTTGTCGACGGGGGGGGGGCATTTTGTACTATCATTGCTTCCTCAGTTCCGGTTTACATGTCTCACTCTGGCGAAACCTGTGAACTCTTGTGAAGCTGGAACAAGTCAAGCCATCATGTTAAAACCTGTCAACTCGAGAAGAGGCTGTCTAGATAGGCCGACACGTTGATGGGAAGTAGCAAAAGTGCAAAATGCCCCCTTCAACAAGTGCGTAATGCCCCCTCCCCCCTCTTCGACAAAGCTGCGCCGTTGTTCACTGGTGTGACATTCGTTACCTCATAGAGGTTTTCGTGTGGGAATCATTTCGGAGTTGCTATTTCAATACCCTTTTCCCGAGCTCTTTAAAATGCTTGTTTCAAAAATTTTTAGAGTGCGGTGGAATGAATAACACTTCAGTAAAGATCCAACTGCATGCACAGTATTCAGCATACTGTAGCTTATTAGGAATATCGATTAATTTGGTGATCATCCAGCTCATTTCAGGACGACGCTGGTGGCGACTCAGACGTGGACTCAGATCATGAGGCGTTCTTCGTCGAACCCGGCTACCTATCTGATGGTGAAGGCGACGAGGCTGACGACGATTGCGACGAGGGTCAGACAGCAGAGCTGGACGAGGCATTGCACCATCATGACGCCAAGGACGAAGAGGAGCGCCGCGCGCGGCTCGCGGCGCGTGCGCGCGAATGGAAGACTCGGGTGCTCGGCCGAAAGCAGCCGACCGTGCTGGTGCCGCGGTGCGTGGGCCCGATCTACTGTGCCGCGCCGCAACCGCTTGCCGCACTACGCGTTGTGCTTTTCTGAAGCGCTCCTTTCACGATCATCGCTGACGACGACGACGACGATCGCCGCGACGACGTCGACGACCGCCGTCTGCCGCCAGCCAGCTCGCGTGCGCGACACTTACTAGTGGCTGCTGCTGCTGTCGCGGTGTGCTCCTCCATCGTCTGTTTGTGAGGGTCAACCCGCCACTTGCCGCTGTGAAATCTCCTTCTTTTCGAGCAGCAGCAGCTTGCGGTGGTGGTGGTGGTGGTACTGCTGAGTGGTACCGTAACACGTACTGCTTGGTCTCGTCGCCGCCCCCCGTCCGTTGTGTTTCATCGCGCGGGCCGGTGGCGGCATGCGACAGCACTCCATGTCTAGTGTCAGGAAATTAAATGAGGTCTGCTTATTACTTTTTTCCTTTCGTTACTAGTTTTAATCATTTTTCTCCTTTCTGTCCTTATAATTTTTCTCTTCCGCTTTCGATTTCTGTCGATTTTTATATCCCGGGTTCTAAAAAAATATGCGCGCCTAGCTGCCTTCTCGAAGGCCCATCTATTTGAATTTCTCGGACATTTGTTTCATGTGCAAGTCACTGTGTATATATCGAACTGGTTTATCGATTTATTGATTGCTTCGTTTTCTCGTGAAGTTTGTATTTCAAACGTTTCATGTTCTCAACCAACTGGTTCTGTTCAGTGTGATAGTTGACGTTTTTTTCTGGACCTATTCGTCAAATACTTGAACGCCTTGCTGTCGTTTTTTTTCCATGATTTTTCCAAGTCTTGGAAACTTTTAAGTTAATTTAGTTTGATATTTTCAAAGGAAGTTTGTAGTTGGTGAACAGTGACGTATCGAATCGTATTCGATCGATTTCCCTCGAAATTGTGTTTCTAAATGTGTGAATTATACGATAAATTGGACCTTGGGAAGCATTTCCGGGATTCCCATAAGGGATTGATTGGTTATCCATTGGGATATATTTTGTTCTACTGCTGATTTTCCTTCATTGTACCGATCTATATCTCTTTATTGAATAGTTTTTCATTAAATTAATCCGAAACGGATAATTATAATATGTTCGTTTTGTGTGTGTATGTATACGTGCGTGTGTGTGTCGAGAGGGAGGAGGCTAGAGAGTGAGGGATGGATCGATTGCGGCCGCTGCTGGCTGGCTGTGTGGCGGCTGGCTGGCTGGCTCCACCTCGGTGTGGTCGCAGCAGTAGCAGCAAGCAGCAGCAGCCCTCTTTCCTCCCCGGGCACCCACCATCCTTCTCTCGTCAACCGATACAATTAGAGGCTTTTGTCGTGGTCGGCCCGAGAGAGGAGTTCCGCCTCGGCAACATTGAATTGATGCACTAGGGGTCAGATGGTGCGTGGGAGGACGAAGACGGGAGACGAAGGACAAGTTGAAAATATTGGCTAAATTCGAACTCGAACAAGTGATTGTGAAGATCCATGGGTTCTGACCTCCAGCGACCCCAGGATCTTAAGGGGGTCGTTTTTGGTTGCGGGAGGGAGGGTGCTTTCAAGATAAATTTTCTAGCTGGTTGATTCTTCTCGATTTTTTTTCCGTGTTTTCGCGCTATATACCAATGGGAAAAGGAGTCGTACCAGAAGAAATTTTGAGGGGGTCCTACCAGAAGAAGAGGTTTTGTAGAGGGGTTGCACTTTGATGAATTTTTCCCAACAGCAGGAAATGCCCTGAGCGAGCTGTGGATTGAAAGCGAACCCTTGGAATTTAGGCGTACATTAAAGGAACTGGTGGCCTTGTGGTTTCCTCAAGCTTTCAAGGAGTAGCCCTTCCCCTTGGAAAGTCTGCGCGTGGACCTGGGCAATGTACTGCCGTTAGGTGGGGGGGGGGGGTGCAAAACACGTCTTCTTCCCCCTCAGAAGTTCCCTTTCTTGTATGACCTTCCTTCCTTTTCCTACCCACTCCCGTGTTCTCAATTTTTGAAAGCTTTTATACCACTTTC